AAGAGAGAGATCTCCTGTTATCTGGGAGTAAAGATGTGGTAGTCAGTAAGGTGGTTCCAAACCCAATCAAGGAAGAAAGTGGAATCCAAGAATGGCAGTGCAGGAGGCAGAAGCAACGCTCAGGCATACAGAGATTGTGGGTAATGTCCAAATAGGCCGGGGAGGCTTGGGGCTTGGCCCAGGCAAACCAGTGTGGGTAGAGAGCAGCTCCCAAGGAAAAGAGAAAAGCTAGTGGTGGAACAGGTTCGTAGACGGAGGAGATATTAAGGGGTGCAAAGGCAGTGGCTCAGGCTAAGCAGGGACAGTGGTTAAATTGGGAAGGTGTAGATAAGAAAAAGCTTAGCTGGAAAGAGCTGTGGAGTATGGAGGAAAGTAGCATTAGATTCTTGATAGGGGCAACATATGATGTATTGCAACTCCCCAGAACCTAAAACTCTGGGTAAATGGAGACCAGCTATGTGCATTGTGTTCAGGTACTACAACTCTAAAGCACATTTTGTCAGGCTGTAAGGTTAGTCTGTCGCAAGGGCAGTACACGTGGCGACATAACCAGGTTTTAAAAAGCTTGGCTGCAGGAATAGAAGACCTACGGAGGCAGGCAAATTTAGGAGGGTCTAAAACAAAGAGAGTTTGAAATAAAGTTTGTCGAAGAGGGAGAGAAAGTTGGTAAGACAGCAAGGAGGCAAGGCAGCTTAGAGGATGCTTGTGATTGGGAAATGCAGGTAGATTTAAGGAGAAGCTTGTTGTTCCCAGGAAATAGCCAGTAACAAGTTAAGGCCTGACATAGTCTTGTGGTTCTAGGAGTAGAATGAAAGTATATTTCATAGAGCTGACTGTTCCATGGAGGCTTCAGTTGAAGAAGCATATGAAAGGAAAAAGCTCAGGTATTGTAGAGTTAGGGGCAGAAGCAGAGCAGCGAGGATGGAAAGTTAGGATTTGTCCAGTAGAAAGTAGGATGTAGAGGATTTGTAGCAAGGTCTGTTGTCTCTTTGGTAAGGGAGCTAGGAGCAAGTGGCCGAGTGTGAGGAAAATAGCTAAAAGACATGTCAGTATGAGGCCAGCAAGATCCAGTCAGTGGATTTGGATTAGAAGAAGTAATGGTAGTGTGGCCGGGCCCAGCAGGGGGAGCACTTAGGATAGACAGACTCTTAGGAGAAGCAAGGAAGAAAATCCAGGAAGAGGAAGTGTTTTTAAGTGGAGGGTGTGGCCTGTGTGAGCCTCTTTGAGACCATGCGGTTAGTTCAGGTGAGTTGGTTTGTTTGTATTGCTCTGAATTGGTTTGTAGTGTGTCTCTGACTGTCTAGGCGAGTTTGTTTGTTTTAGGTGAGTTGTTGGAGAGTGGGGGAGTAGGGGGAGGTAGAGCACAGCCTAACCCGGCGGGGGAGAGCTAGCCCAAACAGGCACCTCTCCCTGACTCTACCTCCCTCATTCAAAATGGCTGCCATTTTCTCCAACCGGTTAGGGGAGTTTGTTTGCTGAATCTGCTGGTGTGTTTTGTCCTAGTTGATGATGTTGTTTGTGGTAGCATAGGCAAGGTAAAGGAGAAAATAGTCATGGTGTGAGGAGCAGTGATGGCTGGCATTAGGGGAGTGACTCTGGGACGCCAGTGATCACTGTCTAGCCTCCTGGAGGTGTCGTGGGACCAACTAGACGAAACACTGGTGAAAGGAGGTTCCCACCTGATGACCCCAAAGACATGTTAGTTATCACTGCTCATTAGTCTGTGTAGCTGAATTAATAGTTATCATAGGGCTTAGGGAGTTATTCACTGAGTCTGGTCCAGTTTTTACAGCACAAGTTTCTTGTGTTTATCCTAAATTCTATCCCTTTATCTTTTTTATCATTCATTTTCTTTATTTATTAACTTTTATTTATGTGCGCATAAATGATGAATTCAAAGCAAGTATCCTTTTTTTGGCAAGTTGGCCAATCAATACTCAACATAGGTTTGGAGGACACACCTACTGAAGAAATAATTGAAAAGTAGAAAGAACAATGGGAAAACAGAAAAAAAATACAGAAGCACCCCACAAAGAACTAGCTCCCTCCTTGAGGGTCTGGGAGCTGTCCAGGTTGGGAGACAGGGTCTTGTCACCTGGTGGCCAGCCTCCTCCCAAGGGTTAGGAGTCTGACCACTGCAGTGGGCAGCCCTGTATTCATGTACAACATTCAAAACCAAACCAACCAACACATCCCACCTCCCCATCTATGTGACTGGACCACAACAAAACAAACTTCCACCTCCCCAGTAGAGCTCGCCTCTCCAATGGATGGATGGTCCCGACTCCCTCACCTCGCTACCCCAAGTACCTGTTTTTTGTTTTCTATCTAGACCCTAAGAAGTAGAGGGGGAAACAAAAGAAAAGGGAAATATGTGTTTTTTCTTTCTTCTTTTCCTTTTTTTTCTTCTTTTCTTTCTCCCTCTCAAAAACTCAAAATATTATAATAATACGAGAGTTTTTTGTCACTAGTTGTGTATACCAAGGAGAATACGAGGTGTGACGATGACAGAGATCCATCAGGATCAAGGCCTTGTATCAGTTCTGCTCCATGCTCTCGAAAAAAAGTGTTACATAATGTTTGAAAACAGTGACACATCATAGAAAGCTGTTGCTTACTTTATAGATTTAAATTTTATCAAATCAAATATTTCTTTAAAAAAAAGTTTGGTATCAAGAATTGATACATACATATTGATATTTCTATGGCCTGCCTTAAAAGCCCCATTTTACTCACTGTGATTTGCCTTATTTCTGTGCTTATAATTATGATAATACATTCAAACACAAACGGCCTGCCATATGCCACTATATATTTTCAGTCATATGGTCAAACTAAAAGGTGGTTGCAGTGGTTATTCCTTACCTTCAATCATGCCTCCATCTGCACCAATGCAGATAACCACACACTTGCCTGTCGATAACGCTGCCTTGTGACATCATGTCTTTGAAAGTACACTCAAAATCAAGGTGTTAGTCAGCTTTTAATAAGAAGGGGGAACTCACAATCCACAAGAATACAAATATTAAACCTTTTTTGTTTTCCTTTACCGGTTGATAATCTTTTATCAATTTAATTAAAAGAGTTAAAGCAACCTTGACCTCTGGCTGCTAGTTTCCAATTTCTAAGCAAGACCCTCTCACCCTTCAGGGCAAATTGTCCTGTTTTTCAGTCTCTGCCAGCTGTTATTTGTGTCAGTCCTTTGCAGACCTTATCCAATCATGTCTTGGTCTGTTGTTCAAAGCATTAAAAAGTTTGGGGTATCCAAAGAGCACAGGTCAATAAGCAATCACTTACTGACATTTTCATATTTAAAAAGAAATAACGAGCAAAAGAAGATAATGATATTTTGTGTATGTGAAATTGTGCTGACAGTACCTTGTGTCGCTTAATTTGTTTTCAGGGTGATAAAGAGGCAGAGCTGGGTCTACCTTTCTCCCCTCTCTGTGACCGCAAATCTACCATGGTGGCCCAATCCCAGATCGGTAAGATCCACTAATACAACTAATGCTGCTCAATATGGGATTCATTTAGTTTTTATGTCAGCATATTCAACACCACAAACCCACATTTATACTCAGGGGTCATAGTATTTGTTTATCAAGTAAATTTGTTAAAGCAGTTTTACATGTTTAACTCCAACAGATTCTCCTGATAATGTTTAGCCATTGAATAGTTCAGATTCCAGCACAGATCACAGTTCTGTGTAATTGAATCCAAAGTACTCTGTCTTTTGGGAAGTGATCTTGCATTGTGTTCCTGTTTGGAAATTTAGTGATGTGACCATGACTTTCATGCAACTTATCCAGTTTGGGTAGATTTGGATACAGACAGTATGTTCATGCTCTTATCAATGTCCCTACCAATATTTTTACCCATCTCAAGCAGTCTTACCATTTTAACTCCCCTCTGTGTTACCAGTAAGATCTATGCAGCAGCTACGAGTTGCCAGGTTTGTGTGATTTCTGCAGATTCAATAAAAATTTTTTTGTATAGTGCAAAACATAAATTATCTCAAGGCACTTTACAGGGTAAGGTCAAGACCATACAATATTATAGACAGTAACCCAACAGTTCCCGCAATAAGCAAGCACTTGAAGAGGAAAGTGAAGACAGTGGACAGTGTAGAGGAAAAACTCTCTTTTAGCAGGAAGAAACATCCAACAGACTCAGACTCAGGGTGGGCGGCTGTCTGCCTTGACCGGTTGGATCAAGAGGAGGGGGGGTACAGGCGGAGGAGAGAAGAGAGAGAGACCAGGAACAGCTGTGTTTATTGTCGATTGTTATAGTGAAAATAATAATAGTAAAACCCACAGGTATAATGGTGTTATCAATAATAACAGCAGTAATGGTACAGCACCAATGAGTCAGAGATACATGCAGAATGAGGACAGAGAGAGAGAGGAGAAGCACAGACTGCGGGAGAGTGAAATACAAAGTTAATGACATTAAGTAGTATGATAGAAATGCATGTGGAGAAGGGGGGTGAGTGCTCAGTGCATCATGGGAGTACCCCAGCAGTCCTGGCCTATAGCAGCATAAATAAGGGGTTGTTTCAGGGCTCACTTGAGCCAGTCCTAACAATAAGCTTTATGAAAGAAGACAGTTTTAAGCCTAATCTTAAATGTAGAGAGGGTGTCCGCCTCCTGAACCCAAACTGGTTGATGCTTTGATTAAGTTATCATGTTTATAGAGTGGTACAAACTGTGGACTTAAAATCACCTCAGGTGAGGTAGAGTTGTAGAACCTGCTCAGGACTTAAAGATAAATCCAGGAATGATAACTGATCACCTGTGAGTATTGATCTGGATCTGCACTGTTAATTTAAGATTTCAAAAGCAAGTTTGTTAGAGAGAAGCACCTGTGTGAACCAAAGTTAAAAACAAACTGAAAACTTTGCTCTAATCTTAGCTGCCAGTTCTGATCTCAATGACACAACAGATTGTTATTGGAGAGATGTTTTTAAGAAGTGTTTGTGTAGAACAGAGAGTTAGTGGAGACGGTTGAGTGGAGGTCTTAGACTATACATCAAAATCAATGCATTACAATTATAGTATTTTTTATAGTACTCTACTTTCATATCTGTTTTGTTTTGTGGTTTAATTACACTGCACACGTAAAGTTGAGTTGAAGATTAGCAATAGCTATAAACTCTGTGCAGTTTCTTGCTTTGAATTGGAACTGGGTTAAATTGCATTGTCCTTTAGAAAGAAAGAAAGAAAGAAAGAAAGAAAGAAAGAAAGAAAGAAAGAAAGAAACAAGCAAACAAACATTGTGCGTGTCTGGATTTGTCACAGGACTAGACTAGAAAACTCCTTTGTCTGAAATATGATCAAAAATAATACAGCGGCAAGATTAGAAATAAAGGTATGTGTTTTTTAACAATTTAAAATAGATCAAGTTCTGTGTTGCTCCGACCAATAATTCAAACAACTAGTAATTAATAATAAATATAATAGTTATTAAAACACCTAAAATGCAGTGGAATACATATTTAGAATTCTTTGGTTAATGTAACCTGTTTACCGCCACCAAATCACAATCAATTGTTTACATCCTTAAAATAAAAACACAAAAACCTGAATGATGATTCATGTTGGTGGGATAAACAAAAAACATTTTACTTGACACTGTCTCAGATGGTTTTTTTCTCATCTCATATCTTAACATTTTCTGTTATTAAGAAGAATAAGCAGAGGGTGCGAACTGAATAGTTCTCTGGTATTGATATTGTTTCCTGCAGGATTCATTGACTTCATCGTGGAGCCAACATTCACCGTGTTAACAGAAATGATTGAGAAGATTGTGACATCGCTTGTTAAAGAGGCATCTCACTCAGGATTGGCTGGATTCAGGCACTCCAGGTGACAATTCGCAAGACCCTCATGTCCTGTGTGACACTTATGATAAAGGATATACTGAAAACAGACACAAATCCTATCAGACACAACTGGTATCTTAGATATTTCAATCATGATGTGGCTCACAACTCAATCACGAAGTCAGTTATTTTTGCTCAGCAATGATATAGAACAGTATTATTGGTCAAAACACTGTGGGTCAAAACAAAATCTGTGGTATCAAATTATCATGACTTGCCACTCTAAACCTTAACAATAATATTATTGTCCTGTGTGGGGAAGTAGGTGAAGTCTTTGGGTGAGCCAGTTGCATTATTAAAAGCCATGCATACCCATGGTCTACCCTACCACAGGTGATTTCAGTTGGCTGATTAAAGCTCTTCTCAGACTATTTTAACTCTGTCACTCTAAAGTTATTTTTGTGGAGGTTAGTATATACTTATTAGTATATACTACATATCCATATATAGTATACAAAATAGATGTAGATTGCTTTAGGATTAACGCAGTCTTAACTGTTTTGGCCTGACTGACATTTTTCAGCTGAGCTTTTATAATCCTGATATAAATTACAGTTAAACAAGACTAGGCGAAAACCTAGTACATGGCTGGTCCGCATATGGACATTGTGTGAATGTGTTGTGTATTGTATTTATATGCTGTAAGTTTGACTCAGGTGGAGGAACTTTGTGACCAAAAGTTAATGGTCTTACCCTTTTTTAATGGTTTCTTGTGATCATCATTCACTCAAAGATATTTGAAGGAGACTGATTGGAAGCTACAACTTGATGTGTCATTTCAAATTCATTATTGACATGACTATTATTCAGACCAGGCAGTGAGATTTTTATTATTGGAGTCTGCACTGAGTTGTTAATAAGAATCCTTAAAATGTTAATACAAACTGACTCCAGTAGCACCAGTCTGTGCTATTTGTATGGCCTGCCCTACACACTTGACATATGCTGTAAACCCTTGTGTGCAGCCGAAAAACCAAAACACAGTTCTCCTTCTGTTGCTGTTTTTTGGCAGTTGGCAAAGAGCGTTTTGGTTCACTACTGCCGTCTGCTGGTGTGTGAGCATTGTAAACTCTTACCAGAGAGAACGACACTCATATTCATTAGATGCCATCAGAAACATTTAGTCTTCATTGTTCACAAAATTGAAGGTATTCAATGAATGGTGCTCATTTAGGGTGTTCATGCACAGCACTGTCCACAACATGCCTATCTGATGTAAACAAACTTGACAGTGTAACTCATTTGAGTGACAACTGACAAATAATTATTTGGTGTTGAAAAGGGGTGGGTCTGCTCCAGCCTCCGCCCAGTACTGTAGATTCTGGTCAGTAGATATAAAATGCCTGCCTCCTTCAACCGGTGTGCAGTGGGTTCTCCCAGCAATAGTTTGCAGTCAGCAATCCAGCATCAGTCGCGTCTCACTCAGACTGGCTTCTTGCCACAAACTTGCGTCTTCAAGGTGTTTGAAACTTCATCCCACCTGCAGTTCCCCCCTGCAGCGCCACTTCCTGTAGGCTGATTGGCCCCCCGCTCTACTACTCCAGACCGATGACTGGAGGTTCTAGTATTCAATCAGGTTAATTGTCCACGCTCTACAACACATTCAGTTGGGTGTACAAAAAACCATACAATCCAAAAATGATTGAAAACAATCCCAAAAAGCATATAATAAGCATGCACACATCAAATCAGGAGTAATAAAAGCAAAAACAACTAATATATACATGTAAAACAATCAAGCCAGAAATAATTGAAGGATAGCAACTAATATACTGTACATGCAAAAACAAACATATCCAACCAATCCAACCAACATACCCATACACATGGGTGGTCCTTGGCAGGCTATAGCAGCATGAGGAAGGGATGATGACATCATCACAAAGGCAGAGTCGGAAAAAATAAGGCTTAGGCCAGGTGGGTTTTCACTTACAAGACATTTGGTTTGGTGTTTTGCTGCTGTATACAATTAACGTATTTATATGAAAAAAACAATAAAAAGGTAAAATACTGCAACAGTCAAAAAGATAAATATATATATATAGATACATATGTAGCGTACATGCGTGGCCTGGCATCAGTCACATGCCATAAAGGAAGTTCATTATAAGGACATGCAGAGTTACGGACCCACAATTGACACTTTGCGACTCTTTCCATCATCAAACTATCAAATTGATAGGAAATGGAGACAAAGGACCCCTCTTCCACAAACAGACCATGCTTTTAGCATGTCCAAATGACACAGAACCAGACCAAAGGTCAAAGGGTCAGCTCCAGAGGATCAACCAATGGACACCAGACAACTGGAGAATATAGGCAAAATCTCCAGTTTGTAACAATAAGACTTTGTCTAATGATATTTGATTGTTTCTTGTATAGGACCTGTAACAACAAAAGGACTGATTAACACTAAGGTGTGAATCCTGGCCTGTCTGTGCCATGCATGGACACACACACCAACCTCCCTTCCTCTGTCCCTCTCTAGATAAGAGTCATAAACTACAACCCACATTCCAATCCAGGGTAGTGACCAGCAGAACACTCTTCACAGACACAGATCTAAGGAAGAATGTAAAATTAAATATCTAACTGTTCTGTTGCTCATGAGATGTTTCTATGTAATAGTTCAATCCCAAACTTCTATCCCATAGAATGTTTGAAATGTAACATGTAGATTTTAAGACAATCTCCTTCATGTGACCATACTGTCAGCATCCTTCACACAAGGTAACACACTACATGACATCCAGAATGTACTCCTCTCTGCCATTATTAGCGCAAATAATTTTATATGTTATTTCACTTAATGTTTTGTGGTCATGGTGGAAGATGGATGTGCAAGTTTATAAGTAAACTCTGGATTTAAATTATCCAAAATTCAGTGGAAAATTACTCTCTTCTCCAAGTGGAAACACAGAAGATGGGTGGTGCCCATGAAACATGCGCCAGCCCCCAGGGGATAAAACAGTCGTGAACAATTCACACATTGCCAAAAGCCTAAGCCAAAAAAAGCCAAAAGCCAAAAGCAAATGCCTAACGACAAGAAGATGCGAGAAGCGAGGAACGATGCAGAAACTAGAAGCTGAGATCTTTGCTCAAAGCTCAGAGTCCCGGCTCAAAGCCCGGCTCTGTAGCCATGTAAACTCTTAGCTCTAAGCTGTTAGCCACAAACTCATGGCTCTTAGTCATTTTTGCACTTTTCGCATCTTTTATTTTTCTTTACCACAAGCTCCAAGTAACATGATTTTTGTCTACATGCACGATCTTTTATTTTTATAAGCCAAGTCAAGACCAACTGAACCAAAGCAACAGAAGTGCCTCAAAGTAATTTTGTAACTTTTAATCATCAAGTTTTCCTTTTGAAGATTTTGACAACTTTAGAGTCATCTGGTCAACGCCAGACTCCTCTAAAGTTATCCAGCCAAAGTGAAGAGCATTAGAGTTTATTTCGCATCAACCCGCAAGAGACACCAGCAGATAACATCTGCACGACCGCCTGCAGAGAAGCCGAGCACAAATTAAGAGTGCCCAAGACAGAAAGTCTCCTGGCAAACTCCACCAGAGCTGAACAGCTGAGACACCGGCAGAATCCATCATCGTGATAACGGGACACGGCCTCCAGGAGAATCCACCTAGATCCCGCGTCTCCAGGGTTACCACGGCAACCACAGCCACCTGGGTTCCAGCCGAGGGTCTTCAGCTACAGCGCAACTCACAGTAGGCCGGTCTTAACACTCTGCTCATGACTGGGTTGATGTCGAAATATAGCAATATTTAATCATCAAACCTAATTCATAGATGTAGTATCATTAGCTGTATAGCCATAGTGTATAGCCATAACATATCCTCTCCCACTATTGCCAACTCATCGCACTGCTCATTTCCTTATTATTTTCATCTTTATGATTATTACACCTTCCATTTACTCTGTAGATAGTAGTTTAGTTAAATAAACTCCTTTATTTACACCCAGTTGTTGTCCTGTTGTATTCTTTTGACGTAGAGACTGGAGATCCATTGAATTGAGAAGTCATGGCTTCCGATATGAGATTGATAAATTTGGCAATGAAATAATTCATTGTTGTCCTCCTAGAGGACTGGTGCCCCATTTCAATGAGAGTAAATCCTAAAATATGGCGTTAACGCTACACATATATAAAAAATAAAACAATGAAAAAAATACTACACAAAAATACTATAACTATGTACAAAAGTGTTTTAGAATGACAAAACTCCTGCTGGGCAGGATGTAAAAAAAGGTAGTGATTAGGGGATGTGCAAAAGATCACAGTATGGACAATATTTGTTATAACACTTAATCATCACAGTATAAGACCAAGTCAGTTAACCTATCAATCTTTCATCTTTGGTGCAAATGAAAGTGACAACAGGTGCAATGGAGAGGCAAAAGCAAGACAACTCCCAAAAAGGGAATGGTTTTGCTTGTGGGGACCACAGACAATTGTTCTCTACTTATCCCTCCTGACTAGCATGAGGCGGTACCTGCAGCCCAATCAGGGTTGCAAAGGTAGTCCAGCTCCTCCAGGATGGTACATCCATGCGTGCGCAAGAAGGTTTGCTGTGTCTCCCAGCACAGTCTCAAAAGCATTGAGGTGATACCAGGAGATGAGCCAATTACATGAGGAGAGCTGAACAAGGCCACAGAAGGGCAGCAACCCAGCAGCAGGACTGGTACCTTCTCCTTTATGCGAGGAGGAACAGGAGGAACACTGCCAGAGCCCTACAAAATGACCTCCAGCAGGCTACTGGTGTGCATCTTTCTGACTTAACGGTCAGAAACGGACTCCATGAGGGTTCAGCTCGATTGGCATTCACAAGAGAACACCAGAATTGGCAGGTCCGCCATTGGCAACCAGTTCTCTTCACAGATGAGAGCAGGTTCAGTTTGAGCACGTGACAGGAACGAAAGAGTCTGGAGACGCCGTGGTGAACATTATGCTGCCTGTAACATCATCCAGC